AAAAAAAAAAAAAAAAAAAAAAAAAAAAAAAAAAGGATTACTGCTGCCAGAAATACAAGGATGAAAGAGCAGTAAGGAACCCAATGGTGAACTCCTGTAGGGTGGAGACTGAGCGTAGGCTGCATCTATGGCTGCTCAGTGCAACACAGAGGGTAGCCACCCATTTAAGTTAGTGGATGAAGAAGTGGGTGTGCAATTGTTTGGATGGATGGATGGATGGATGGATGGATGGATGGATGGATGGATGGATGGATATCATCCTCACAACCAGCAATTCTCTCCATCACTGATCAACCAGCCTGCATACCTGAGACCTAAGCACCAGAAAAGATTAAGAAGGACTCCTCAGAGCCCAAGACAAATGAGAAATGGAAGATAAGCCTGACTCAAAACCAAGTCAAAGAAAGCTCCAATCAGGTCCCAGTCTCGGTTAGTTCAAACTTCCTCCCTGCTCTGCCCAAACTCAAAATGAAATACCAGAGTTCAAATCCAACTCCAAGCCCCTAAGAGCTTAGCAACCAAACATAAATTTGCTTGCAATGAAAGTGTGGCTTCTAAAGGGTGACTGATTCCCTGGAATGGCTTTGCTTGGACTCTACCCTCTTACCTTGTCGTGAGAGAGGTTGAAAAAGAGAGGGAAGGAAGGAGAGACAGAGATTTTATCTGTGTACATACCCTGTCCTTCAGGTCTTCGATAGTGTCGTAGAAATGAGAGTAGTCCTTCTGGAAGATTCTGGAGCCCTTCTTTGAATACCATTCCTGGATCTGTCTCTCCAGGGAGGTGTTGGCCTCCTCCAGTTCCTGTACTTTATCCATGTAGGAGGCCAGACGGGAATTGAGGTTCTGCATGACGACCTTCTCGTTGGTATTCAGAATACCACCTTCACCACCTCCAGAGCCACCACCAAAGCCTCCACCAAAGCTACCTCCAGAGCCACCACCAAAGCCACCACCAAAGCTACCTCCAGAGCCACCACCAAAGCCACCTCCAGAACCACCACCGAAGCCACCTCCAGAACCACCACCGAAGCCACCTCCAGAACCACCACCGAAGCCACCTCCAGAACCACCACCAAAGCCACCACCAAAGCCCTTAGAACCTCCCCCAAACATACTGCAGGAACTCCCTGCACTAAAGCCCCCTCCAGATCCTCCACCATAGCTGGAGCCAAAACTGCCACCACCTCCACTGCCATAGGCCAAAAGGCCACCTCCACCAAAGCCACTGGAAGAGCTAAAGCGGCCCCCTCCTCCACCAGCCCTGGAGGAGCGACTGAACGAAGACCGCATGCTGCCTCCGCTACCCCCTTTGCTTCCTCCACCGCCGCAGCCGCCACCGCTGCTGCTGTTGCGACTCCAGAACGATGAGGAGATCTGTCTGCAACTCATGATGCTGCCTGCCAGAGTACGTAAGCAGAAAACGGTCTCGAGGTTGCTGGGTACTGAGCCATTCCTAGAGTTGCCTACTTATAGCCCCTGCTAAAGGTGGCACGCCTGGGTGTGCCCTCACTCTGTGCCAGCTTCCCCCCATCAATAGACTCAGAGAAGGTCTAGGGTATGGGAGCAGTAGGGAAGCCCCAGGCTCTGCGTCCCTTGGTGACTGCCCGTCAGCAGCCCAGCCTCTCTCCATTGTGTGGGGTAATTTGATGATATTAGGCTGTCAAGGGCACTATAAATCAGCCCTATTGCTGAGGGGGTGACCTATATCCTACAGTCTGGTGTCTGGCTGACCTTGACAACAGGTCTAAGACTCAGCCGTCTCAGTTTCTAAGAGCAAAACTCAAGGTTGATGGTCACTGTCTAAACTCACTCTGCCCATACCTGGTGGTCACCACCATGGGTTGAGCTGCGACCCTGGTATAGAAGTTACTGTGAAGGCTAGGAAAAGTGCAGACCCTGGTCACAGGGAGCTGCCAGGATGATCAAAAGCCAGCACCTGCCCTAGTGAAACCCCTATCTGATGGGAAACCCAGTTGTCAGCATCCTTTAGGCTGACAGGAGAAATAGGGCTCTGCTCTTAGGACATGCCTGTTTGCTGGGATGGTGCTGTGGCCGAAAGATGGAGGTGGGTGCACAGCTGTGCCTCCTTCAGGGTTCCAGAACAGCATGTAGCATTCACATGGAAGACTGTGAGAAGACAGAAAATCCAATAAACACAGCCCTGCTATTGCTATAACAATATGTACTATATAGTAGTATTTTTACTATAGTAGGAGCATGATGGGCCTGGCCTGTCTGCCTCTCTGACCTCGTGTGTGTGTGTGTGTGTGTGTGTGTGTGTGTGTGTGTGTGTGAGAGAGAGAGAGAGAGAGAGAGAGAGAGAGAGAGAGAGAGAGAGAGAGAGAGAGAGAGACGCATTTGTGTACACATGTGTATCTACAAATATGGAAGCCAGAGTTGTCACTTCCCACCTTATTTTTGGAGGCAGGGTCTCTCACTAACCCTGGAGCTCACTGATTCATCAAAACCACCAAGCCACAGGGATCCTTCTCTCTCTGCCTCCCCAGTACTGGTATTGCAGTGCACTGTGTGGGATTACAGTGCTCTGCCCAGCTTTCTACGTAGATACTGGCAATCAAACTTGGGTCTTGTCCTTGCATGACAAGCACCTTGCCCCTGAACCTTCTCCCTAGCCTCTGAACTGCTGCTTTTGAAGAGCCCTACAGTGAGTGTAGACTTGCCCTTGTCTGGGTGCCTGCCTTACTCTCAGTCCGGGGGTGGCAGGATACCAGGCTGTGACTCTCTCTTACTCCTGATAGAACCTCATGCTTATTCTGGTCACCCGTGCCAAAAGAGATTGCAAAGGGCTATGGGTCCTGCTGCCAGATCACTGGGGCACAGTCCAGACCCTGCTCCCTGGCTTGCTTTCTCATGCTGAGCCTCTGTTCTCTCCTCCAAAACATGATTTGCCCATCCCAGGAGAGGAGGCATGAGAAAGGCTCAAGAAAGACCAGACTGCTTCTGATCATTCAACCCCTTCAGTCCCTACACTGCTGCCCTCCCTCGGCCCTGAGAGGTCATTTCAAACAGCCCTTCTTGCTCCTCTCTTGCCCCTTGACCTTTTTTAAAATCTTTAAATCAATGTGTGTGTTCTGATGGGGGAGGTGCACCTGCCGTAGCACACAAGATGGACGATGACCATGGAGTGGGTTCTCCTTCACACTCACTCCGGTCCTGAGGTTCAAGCTCAGCCCTCCAGGTTTGTGCAACAAGTGCCTTTGACTCCGAGCCATCTTGTCAGACCCCTCGGCCTCTTGAGCTGCCCCTGAGATGACCCTTCTAACATGTGTCTCCTCTGATTTCTCTGCACTCTTAGGACAAGATCCGTGCTCCTGGTATTCAAGGCCAGTCCCCAGTCTTTGAATCATTGTCCTATTTCTCCCCTATGTGATGCTACCTGAATGACCCTCAAACTCCTGCAGTTCCTTTCCCACTGAAATATTCTTTCATAGCTTCTCTAGTCAGCAAACCTGTGTGCCTCCTCTTCAAAGAAGCCTCCCTAAGCAAACTTGTGTGCCTCCTCTTCCAGGAAGTCTCCCTGAACAAATCAGTGTGCCTCCTCTTCCAGGAAGCTTCCTTAAGCAAACCTGTGTGCCTCCTCCTCCTGAGCTCTCCCCCTCTGCCCCTCTGAATTCCCCCTTAGTTCATCCTTTGTCCAGTTCTGGGCTTCCACCTTGCATCTTAGTCCCTCTACCACTAGCTGCACCGCCCCACTGCAGCAAGAATTCCTCCCCTCCCTGACCTCAGCAGGGGCTTCTCTAAGCCTGTACCTGCTCATCTTGCACATTACCCAGTGCCCAGACCCCATGCCTGGTCAAAGTGGATCCCAATAAAAACAGGATGAAAGAGAAAGAACGGTCATTTTAGATGGATGCCCAGGGCTGGAAGAAAACTGAAAACAGGAAGAAAGCTCACGAGGGTCGACAAGGGCCTGAAGCCTTGGAGGTGTGGCTGAGGGGTTCAAGGCTCTTCCCTGCAAGGGTCTGGAAGAGGGTCTCCGGGTGGTAGGAATGTAAAGAGTAGCATTTGAGAGATGCTTCTGGGCAGAGCAGTCCGGGCACTGGGGCAGTAGAATTGCAAGTTGGAGACCCGCCTGGTATACATAGCAAGATCCTGTCACGACAACAGCAAAACGCTGATCACATGATAAGAAGAGCATTTCCTTTTCTATCTGCCATCTCCTGATTCTCAAAGAAAGAAATCGTCATCAGCACTATGGTCCCCTTAGCAGCCTCCACACCTGTCAATCATCCTGGCCAATCAAACCAAAGCCTACCTTGGCTGAGAACCTGAAGGCAGCATCAGCATCAAGTTAAACATGCCTGCCTCCTTGCCTTCTGTGAACTACAACTGATACTCACTTTCCTCTTTTTCTGTAGTAATATAGAATTTCCTCCACAAATATGCTTGTTGAAAGGAAAAGTGAGCTAGTTTACCATGATGAATGAAATAATATTTAAATAAATGGTACAGAATGGGGTTGTTTGTTTGTTTGCTTGCTTGCTTGTTTTTATGTGTTCTGTTTGTTTGGTTTGGTTTTTGTTTTGTTTTTTACTTTATTTATTTTTTTTGAAACAGGGTTTCTCTGTAGCCTTTGGAGCCTCTCCTAGAACTGCTCTTGTAGACCAGGCTGACCTCAAACTCACAGAGATCTACCTGCCTCTGCCTCCTGAGTGCTGGGATTAAAGGTGTGCATCACCACTACCCAGCATAGAATATGTTAACTAAAACAGGCAAGTGGGTAAACTTGAATGTTCATAGCATTTTTTTTTGCAAGTTTAACATACAAGAAACTCTTAGACCGAGGCTAGAGTCTGATCACTATCCCTACTTCTAGATGGTTCTAAACCTCTGCCACACTCCTGCCAGGCTCCCCTGGAAACACCCAAGACCTGTCCTCAATGCCATCCGAGGCCCAGACCCCCTCCTTTCTCCCAGCTTTGCCACAGGCACACTGACATCACCAGTCTCAGAACTTCAGCTGGTGGAAGACAGGTTGGGCCAAGTTGGGGTAGGCAGCTTCAGAGAGAACAGCCCTTCTGTGACTCTAGACTTAGCAATTGCATTCTGTTAGGTTTGGTTTGGCTTGGCTCGGTTTTGTTGTAGGGTCTAATATTGTAGTGACCTTGAGTTCATGATTCTCATGCTTCAGACTCTGAAGTTCTGGGAATACTGGCATCTACTTGCTTTACCCTGATGGTTACATCTATCTGGACCATCCTCTGCCTGAATCCAGGACTCCCCAAGCATCCCCTCCCATCTGAGTTTCCACAGCACCTGGATCATCTCCGTATGTGGTTCCAATGTCTCTACCCCTGAGATGGAGTCCTCCCCACTGAGCCTCCTGGGACAGCAGAGTGAGACAAGTCTGGGCCATCATCAGTCTCATTCTCCCTTGTGGCCTCGACCTCAGTGTCCCCATGCGAAGTCCTTTCTTGCTGAGTTTCCAGGAACACACATACATTGCAAGATGGAGGGATCCCAGTATGAAAACCCAGTTGTCCCTGTGTGTATGCATTCTCTCCCCTTCACCCTCCTCCCCTCATCCTCTCTCCTTCCTATTCTCCCTCCTCCCACTGCCTACCCCCATCTACCTCCTCCCCACATCCTCCTTTCTTCCCATCCTTTCTCCTTCCTGTTTTCCTTCCCCTCACATCTGGATCTGCTTCCAACCCAAAGAGGAGCCAACCATGCTGGGTAACTCCTGTGAACCAGACATACATTGGTACTACAGTTTTGTACCATCTGCCTGGCATGGGAAAGGTTGTCCCAAGGATGAGGAAGTTAACCATCCTGGACCGAGCGAGAGACCTCTTCCTGGCTGTGCAACATGACTTTCTTTTACCCTCTCGGGGCTCAGGGTCTGCCCTCTGGATCCTACTTCCCACTCCTCCTGGCAATGAACAAGGACTAGATCTCATGTAGCTCAGGATACCCTACTCCAGGTGGCCATTAAAAAAAAAGTCTGTCTCTATAATTCATGTCCAAACTGCAGCTAATATTGGAAAATTCAAACACATCTTGGGACATTGTCCTGACAGTTGAATGGCTCTAAGTATGCTTTTTTTTTTCTTGCTCCTAGACCATCTGGATAACCTGCATTCAACCCTCTTGCTTACAATTTGCCCATCCCTTTAGTCAATTGGGCCCCACACCAGGCTCCCAAATACAGTTCCTGCCCTCAGAGCACAGATGGAGCTGAATAAAAGGACTTTGAAGACCAAAGAGACAGAGAAAGGAACCCTAAATGGATTCTACCTGCGGGTCTCAGGGAAGCAGGTCCCTCCTAAGGGTATGGGGACTTAAGAGGAGACAAGGCCACCCTGGCTCTGGCTATAGACGCTTCCTGCTTGCCTGTATCCAGCCACCCAGACCTTCTGGTCCCACTT